CCCCTTTCAAAAGTTTATTGTTTATTCAATTTAACTATCCCTGCTTATACTCCTTACTCCAACAAATCTGCCACTTTCAATTGTCCTAAGAAATCTAGCACTGCTAAACTATTCCTTCTCTTTTGCTGCCCCATGTTTGGAATATCTTCTCAGGACACTCTTGTGAGGAAAATACGCTCTGGGTGAAAGAAGGAAGTTTTTAGAGGCCTCAGATGAATGGTATCACCTTAATAAAATTGAAATATAAAGGAATGCGCAGGCTTGTGAATGGGGCTGATTGTAAAAAGTCTTACCTCAAAGCCTTATCACAAATATCTCAATATACAAGGCATCTGTCTCGCAGCAGTTCCTGGCATTTGGCACCTTGTACTACCTTGTTTCTTCCACCTAGTAAGGCTATTGTTTTCCTTGAAGATAGTAGACAAGAAGAGGGCAAATACGCAAGGCATCTGTCTCGAAAGAGGATGAGGTAAGAAGGAGGGCAGAAAGTAACTTGAGATCTATTGCTTACTGGTGTAGGCCTGCATTATCACATGAATATGTATGTACGCATTCTTTTCCCTTTCCCCTTCTTGTAGAAATATATAAATATCAGGATATCCATTTTGCCTGCAGGGGAGTGTCTCCCACTAACCCTTGGTGGGTCCCCTCCAGTGCACACTGTCTAATAAACACTGCATTGAAGCCTTGATTATTTTGCATCTGAGTCCTGCATTTTGATTCCACATTCTTTTTATTTTTTCCACCTCAACATAAATTATATAAAAATTGGAAAGTGTGAAGAACCCTTTAGCTACATTGTTACAATAAATCCACCTTTCCCAAAGTTTCATTATATTGTTTTCATTGTTCATTTGTGTTCATTTTGATGTGCTGCTGCATAACAAAGAGACAGGAGGAGAGAAATCACATGAAAGCTAAGAGGGACCACTGAATCATCAGGGCCAGATATACAACTGAATAATAAGAGATGGATGCCTCAGACATCAGAAGCTGGGAGGCAGAAGCTTGTTTGGAGTACTATTTGGAGTCATATGGTCTGCCCTATAACTAATTGCCATGTTGAATAAATACTCATTATATTAATCAGCTTTTAGATTTGGACATGAAATTGCAGCCATTTTGTCTATCATCTCAGGCAGCATATCTTAGTGTTGCTCTCTTGCACATTACACTCAGTGCACATCAGGCTGGAATGGTTGGAATGCTGGACAGAGATCTTGCTGGTAGAGTTGAGACCATGGCCTCAATAAAGGCACATCAGCTTTGCTTTCTCTGCAGGATTGACATTTATAATGCAATCAATATGCCAATTTAGTCACAAAGTGACTAAATCATGACAGAAGCTGGTCCATCAGCTAAGCTTAAAATAGCTGCAGTGTTGAAAATTAAGCTGAAATCCAAGGATTGAAAAGTTGGGTCAGATGCTTTTGACCACAAACTATGACACTACCTGTTAAAAAAAAAAAAAAATAGGAAGAAAGGGTTTCAGGAAATTAATCAGGCCAGATCTTTAACCAATATACTTCTTTTTTGTTGATAAATAGGTATCCACATAGCCTATTTTTTTAATGAATATTGGGAATACTGGTGAGTGTTGAAGGTTTATTTCTTTGAATGTAGTTTATATAAGTAAACAAGGAAAATGAAAGAAAAAATCCAAATAAGGAAAATAAATATTTTTTAAAAATATGAAAAATGAGATACCATAATCTTCTATTTAATTTATTTATTATTAATTTGTTAGGGTATTATTTCATCAATAAAAAAAATTAAACAAAAGGGAAGAGTATTGGGGATGTTGCATTCTATAAAACTCTCCCTTAAACTACTCTGAGAGCTTAGAAGCTCACTGATATCATGGTTGATATGCTTATGAATGATACCTTAATAGGTGCTACATAATGAAATCCAATTCTTATTTCCTAAGAAGTAAGATATACTTTCTTCAGGAATGTATGTACAGTAATTTGAGTTGTGATTTATTGAGAATAGGAAAAATAGTTTTCCACAGATGAAAGTTTTTGTATCTCCATATTTGTTCATAACTCGATCTCTAGAAAATATAGTTGAGCAACACATGCCCATGAATTGCATAATCATAATCTTCAATTTCACTTAATATAGTCCCAGTACCAGTCAACATCTTCCATCCTTTCCATACATTTGAATAACTGCCACTGTTTCACGGAAAATTAGAGACACTGGCAAGTAAATCCATGGGTTAATTCAGAGGCTAAACAATCAACAGCTATATTACTGTAGGGCAGTGAGTCTTTAGTGGGCAGAGGCAAATGTGGGCTGACAAAGAGAAGGAGAAAGAATAAATGACAGGGCAAAATACTGAGTTGAGGCCATAAGAGACTCTGCAGAGAAATTAGTTGATTTGCTTATACTTAGTGAATTGAGTGATAATCGTATTTGGGGCTGAAAGGTAGTATCTACTGAATCAAGGTGGCTAGAAATCATGAACTGTTACTTATTAAACCAAGGAGTTGGAAGATATCTCATGTTTCATTCCGTCTGATTTCAAATCCCCATCTAAAATTATTCCAAGAGCATGTTTCATTCTGTCTGATTTCATATTGCTACCTCAAATTATTGCAAGAGCACTTTCTTGAGTCTAGCATTATTTATTCTCCTTTACACTTTACTTATAAGAAAACATCAGATCATTAAGGCATCAAAAAGCTGCACCTCTGACCCATAACATGCAGTTCCCCTGCCTCTCTTTCCATGCCTTAGTATGGAAATCTGAGCTATAGAGGCCTAAATGCACTGATCTAGATTTTTACAAATCTAGAACCTTGTTTACTCACATATAACATTGTGGTTGAAGAAGTGAAGCTTTATAACTGGTTTAATCAAACAATGTTCTTTCATGAGTTATACATGTGACTATACATAACACAATGCAACAGTTATTTAACTTTAGACTATAATTCTTAAACGATCTGATAAATGATTTGATAACATCTAGCCTATATCACAAAACCATGTAAAAATTTTAGTTGAAAATTATTCAGAATAGAATAGTATAACAAATGTTAATAATATATACTCTGCTAATGTAGTACGATAATAACACTGATTTCTATGATAATTTTGTTCATCATCAAGAACTTCACTGGATGCTGAACAGCAGTACATCTAATCTGCATATTATACATAAATAGCTGAGAAAAACAAATCAAAGGTCCATTCAGTTTTATTATGGTCATCTTATGGTGTTCTCATCTGACCACTGTAATTACCTAAATTGATTCTAATTCATATGCCATGTGCATTCCAAACCAGAAAGTACTTTTAGATCTCTTTATTAGACTATCATTGAATCAAAATATGACAGAAGCTTCAAGAATCCTTTTTGACAGCAAATTCAATGTTATGATATTATTAGAATATATGATATTGCTGTTTCATGTATGCATTCATATGTGGTATCAAACCTAGCAGTTATGGGATAAGAAAAGATACCTTATTATGGTTAATGAAAGGTTTGTATTAGGAAGTATGTCTTTAAACTTGTAAATGGCTTGAGTCATGAGAAGAGGCGGTATACAAATAAGCATAAATAAAATAAAATACATAAGCTCCAGCTAGGGCCAAATTTGTTGAAGACTCCAAATTATATGCAGTAATTGGTGATAAAAGGGTGCATTGAACAGTTCCAAATTTTTTTTTTTCAAAATGCATAAAAATTGG